AGACGGTGGAGAGAAGAGACGTGAACAGACAGGCTCTGTGTTCAGACACACACGGAACAAGTTAGGACGATTACGAGCACGGTGATACTTGAAGTGTGACTGTGGATACAGTGAGTGTAGCGTGCACGGGAACGAACCGGGGACCGCGTTGATGGAATTTCAGTTATAAGTGTAGTGAAATGTGGTTTGATTTATTTAGTTATTATATTTATTGAGTGATTTTGTTAAGTCTCAAATATGGAATCAAAAATTATCCTTAAGTTAAGAGGCTAAAGATTTGGAACTTGAGTGAATTTGGTGCTTCTACTGGAGAAGCTTGCTGTCTAAGAAAATAAACAGTGCTTCTAAACAACAAACATTTTTATCAAAATGTATAGTTTGTAATAAATACGTGTATGAGTTCTGTATATGATTAACTAACAGTCAGTAGTGAGGAATGATGAGATGAACATGTTTGTTATATTAAGATAATTATTACTTCACATTCAAGATGTATACAGATGAACTTTCCTGATTCGTTATTAATAACTTTACACTTACTTATGATTAGTTTTTTGTTACACACAATCTACTTAACGAGTTCTTATATATCTTTGTAGTAATGTAACTAAGACATGTAAATAATACTTATTATAGTATTCCATGTAATTCCCCCGCAGGGTCAGGTAGAACAGTTTTATAACATATGAAGTCTACATACATATATCGCTAAATATTTAACCACCCAACCAACCTTATTCATTTGTTACCATATCTATTGTTCTAATGTTAATATCTCCATTGGAGCTTAGCACATAAATTCACGCGGACAAAGCTTTTTTATTACTCTTTTTTTTATTAGTCGCTTCGCTCGTCCGCTCAACTTCGCTGTCGTGGGCAATCGACAACTTCTCGCACTAGTTGCACAATATAATATTATCCTCGTGAATTTCCCTGTTAAGCTTCGTTGGAGATTTTAAATTTGCACAATATACTATTTAAGGTTACATGCACGAACACTTGTGACACATTGTACATTGTAACGCTTCGCCTGAGACCGGAGACCGGAGTGCACGAGAGACTGTGGAAAGGAACAGAGATGTATTATGGACCCGGAGTTTTATATATTGATCTTAGTTTATTCAGTCATTATAATATCAGTACAACTCATTTTGTACATGCATGCAGTTTATAAAAAAAAACTGACATTGATTTTTTGGACAACTCACATTCATCTCTTTGAAGAAAACTATTTGAGAGACTACAAATAACCGTGACAATGTTAAAATGTATAGTAAAAATATTTAAAGACTCGATTTTTTAAATTTTTTCCTCTTATATGTATATTAATATCACAAAGGAAATCATTATTTTTATCATCAGGATGATAAAAAAGCGTGTGATAGTGAACTCATACTAAAACAGGTACCTACTTTAAGGGAGTTATATTTTTTACGGATTATTTATTTTTTTGTTCGGTGGAGTGAATTACTTTAATTTATTATTTAATTATTTATACTTGTTGCTAGAGAAATTAATAAGTAATAATAAAATGTTATTTCAAAAAATTTTTATCAGATGAAACAGATTTATTGAAGCAAGTCTCACTTCCATATTGATATGAAAAAATCGAACATCGAAAGTGTTCGAGTAATAGTTTTGATAACAAAATGATCATAATCATAACATCATTAGCCATTTATATATTTATACATATTTTATTTCTCCTCTCTGTACTAAGACACAGCTTCCCGAAACACCTCATATTTCCAGGTCAATGAACAGTTATTGATTCTTATTTACTCTCATGAAAACGGCCTTATGTTTTGATTAACTTTCAAATAAAAATTGGTTATTTTATGTTAAGTATTTATTGGTACTTACTTAAGAATGTTGTCGAGGTTTTTTTTATGTCAGTGGTGGCTAACGAGCAGACGGCCTTCTTGATAGGCAGTAGTGAACGTTACGGATCCGTTGTCAACCTTGATTGTCGAGGAAACGGGATCGGTGGGAATAGGGACATAGCAGGAAAGGGAGGGAATAGAGAAAAGGCAACCGGTTCTCTCACTTATCGGACGAGACGCAGCCACTAAAAGCTACATCACGCCGATCTTTTTGAAATCCTTTCAGGAAAAAAGACTAATTTATTTAGTATTAAATTGTTCTTGAATATATAAAAGAACATTGTAGGTGCATAAAGTTACGAATAAATAGATCGTTTATAATATATTTTTAGGAGATAATATGCCCAAACACACAAATATATGATGTACATATTATATCAGGTTAACAAAATCTTATTATGAATATAGTTGTAACATTTCAGATCGAGTCTATTGAAGCTACAAGAACACTGTCAAGGGAGGTGTAGTAATCTTTTCATTTCACTCTCTCTATTAACGTGATACAAATATAACAAAAGCAACATTCCTATTCCTGCTCATACTGCCGACACTGGCTGTTGTTAGCTCACCTCAGGATACGACCAATTATATATGTATAACATTTGTTTGAGTAAATACTCGTAGTTTAACACAGTTTTTATATAAATACGAACCAGACCGTTGTCGCGAGACCTCCTTCTACATATTCAATATACACATTGAACGTACTTATGTTTAAATTCATCTTGAACTGTGTTTATTGACAATAATTCTGTTTATTATTCGTGAAATTTATAAATAATGACTTCGTCCATGTCTCGTGGAATGTTAGTTTTCCCTTCACTCAAGATATTTGACACTCCGTCTTGATGAATGTAACTATTTGGCATATAATAACAAAATCACTAGTTTCTTTTCATTCAATTATCATTACTATGTATAATGTGAGTGAGTTTACAAAGTAAAGCACGTTGACTATCATCATCTGTGTGTGTTTCAACATTAAGAAACAGTAAGCTAGATACATTAAAACATTGGACTTCTGTTATGTGAACATTTCGTCAGCATTTTATTGAGGTCTTTAAGTATTAAGAAGCAAGTGCAAACATTTTATCTAACAAGTTAAAATGAATTTTACGTTAGAAATATATTTTAAAATGTATATATATATAAAACTTTACAGGTATCCTAATAAATAACTTCATATTTGTTTTCTGTAATGACTAAGGTCTATAAGATAAATTTGATTCTAACCGAAATGTATGATTACTTGTTTTATAATATGTGTATTTGTATTTATAGTACTTACTTTTAAGTGATCTCTTCAAACAGTAATCTTGGAAAAACATTTGATATGTAGACTGTAAAGTAGATAATAGTTTGAGTTCGTAAACAGTGTTCACCATGATCGATAGGTAGTAGGTAACAAGTATGTATTCACAATTAGTAACTGAGGATTATTAAATAAGGAATACGGAATAATACTGCATGACTGAATACGGAATATCGCCTAATGTATAATGTATAATCAGTCCATCACTTAAACAACATTATTAACTTAACGATTAAATGGTTTGGAAAAGTTGTGTAGTTGAAGGATGTAGTGATATTAATACGTGAAAAAGAATTTCTTACAGTTGTCTTTACTTATTATACGTAAGGAAATGACTTTCTCCGATTTTCTCGAAAACAAGAGCGGTGTACGGAGGGGTTTAAATCTAAATTAAATGTTAATCCAGAATTTAACTTTTAAACAGAGAATCAATTTACTAAAATAGTATATAATTGATTATATATTACTTGATTTATAATTCGATAGAAAATAAAGATTGAAATGTTTAAGTAGTAAATGAACAAAACTACTTCTTCATACGGTTTGGGAATTTATAGAAAATTTAATAACATATCAAGTGATATATAAAAATGAAACTTATACAAAAGTGTTCTAGGAGTTAATTTCCCGTGAAATAAGTGTCCGTTTTCAACCGACTACATTTCCAGTACTTCAAATAGAAGATAATGTTATAATCCATACAGAATTTCCTACATTCCCGGCTCGTTTCTGTTTTCAGAAATCAAAGCCTTCAGCCAGTTAATAAAGAAATTTACTGTGAAGTTGTACTTCATGACGACTTCATTTAAAATTTAATCTTGACTCTCAGGTCTGTTATGAACATTAAGATTCTTACTAAAAATCTCAAATTACTACCATCTTCTTATAATTAATATTTTGTTATTAATCGATCTCTGTCATTGCGAACAGATCAACACACTATGTAAGACACTGGCTGTGAAGTATTAAGGTACGGTACGCAAGACAATTAAGAAATCGATGGCGGTAGGAGATAAAATGACCAGACCAACTGACAGACGCTCACATCTCGTCTGCCCGTGATCACGGTTGCTGAAAAGTAGCCGAAACGTCGGGAGTATGTAGTTTCTAAAATAAAACGCGAAGTAAAATCCGAAAATATTAGTTTCATTTAAATGTGTACTCGCGAAAATCTTAGATCTCATTACATCGATCAACTTTTAAAATAAGTCTTGACTTTGAAACTTTTTGATAAAGGAATTGTAATAAATTTTTTTCATAGATATTTGTATTAAATTAAAAATGTAACATACATTTTTCATTGTTGTTAAATATTTCTCTGATAAAGTATTTGGGTGTCGTATCATTGTGAATTAAATGTGGTGTTTCAATGATATATACATATGTATAAAAATAGCAGACTTGCTCGCTCGTATTATTATTATATTTTTTTGCGTTGGTAACCTCACCATACCTGTCATGTCTTTTGTTCTATGATATAAAACAAACACTACATCCAAAATTATAATATAATTTTCTTTACTTTTTACCGAAATTTATTATTAACAAGCGATATATCGTTATACTCATTAAATGAGATGAAACTTGTCAGCATTCCCTGCATTCACTATGCAAGCACTTGGCCCATTGCGTTGCAGCGATAGGAGATTTAATATTGCCTGGGATTTGCGACCAGTATATATAATTTTTCTGTAACAAGCCCTAATTGTACTTTGCATTATCTAATTGCACTCACTATATATTTAAGTTGAATATTGATTAAATAATAATAATTCGATTTTATAATATCTAACTTGATATGTACGATGGGAACTAAAGAAAGAGAAAATGTTAAACAAAAAACAAGGAGCCCAGAAAACAGAGATAAGAGGAGGAACGGGGATTGTAAAAGATGTAGCGAGAAAGGACAGTAAGTTAGATTACGACGCAATCTGATAGGAAGTCACACAAGTCCAGATCCTACTAACAATTTGTGTGATACATTATACAAATAATAATATAATATGTATATATAGCTCCTGGTACCTTTAATGTAACGGTAATGTTTCAGTGAAGTTTATTAACATGAAGCTTTTAACTGTTTATAAATTATTAATGATGTTCTAATTTCCATCACAAGTACAAAATATTTTCCTGTGAGTGTATTTACTAAAATATTAAACGTGCATTATAGTATAATATTATTCATGATACCCTTGGAAATATTGGTTATAATGTTGACTAAATTCTTATGTTAAATTATTAGCAATAAGGATATAAATAATAATATATTATTAAAAACAAATAACTAAATTATTAGTTTCACTATTACGATATCTAAAACTAAAAATAATTATTGAAGTTGTAAAAAATATAATATTATTGAAACCTTTTATTTATTTGGTTTTAACAAGCACGTTCTTATTTTGACAAACAGAGTTGAGGACCAATACTATATGGGGCTTGGTTGCTCTAACAAGCTTCGTTCACAATAAACGGAGATTAAAAAGTTTAAAAATAAAATACAATTTTTACTTTATAAAAAAGAACGTAATTTGGGTAGGTTATACTAATATATTATTTTATGTTATTTTGATATTGCTTCTTAAAAGCTTGTGTATCTACTGTGTAATTCTTTTATTGATGTTTAGAATTAAAAGTTCCAATCAATTTCAAATAACCTAATAGAGACATAACATCCGCAAAGACCATGGAATCAAGGCCAACAAGTATAAGGAGCTCGCTAAAGAACTCACTAAGAATAGGTTCGTTTAGTGACGTAGAGAGAGGAGTTTGGACGGTGGAGGTGAGTGTTTAACGCGTTTTACATAGAGGCCTCTTAAACCTACACCTAAACGGTGGTCCCAGGCACAGTTGAAGCTCCTCTCCCTGCAACGCGATATACCCGACAGCCGCACCTTGAATCCAATGTATGCTAAGAGGTTTCGTCTCACAAGGGCAAAGTTTCCCGCGTTGATTAAGAGAAGATTACTTCTCGTATTGACAACATTATATTACTTGCTCATATATCAGACCAGTCCTAAGGATTATTGATGCTTCGCTTCGGTACGTAAATGTAAATATTATTCTGTCATTAATTTTATTATGGTAACTCCGCACCCGCATTATAAACATATTTCATAAAAGTACTTTTAACACATTCAATATAATAAAAGGCTACGAAAAATCCTCAAACCATATTCTTATAGTAAGTATATACAAAAAACACCTTATTTTTCTCCATCATGATCTTAAATATGAATCTAGGGGTTGGTTAATACAAGGCACCGTCCTTTTAAATGACTAATAAAGTCGAATATTAAATATAAATATTTGAGTTTCTCAAATGTATAATATTTTATATTCGTAAGTTATATGTGGAGGTAGACTAAGAAAGAATTAGATGGTCCTGTGGAGGATTAGGGATGACATCGGTAAAATAAGTGTGACTGTTAAAAAAAACGACTGATAAGGAAAAGCAATACATTTTGTACAAGGTTGAGGAGAAAAACATTGAGTGAGAAAATTATTATGTCCTACATATATTCGTATGTCAGTGATTTATCAGATCCGGCTTTATTTCAACTATCAAACTTCCTTTGTTAGTTGTTAAACCAATGGTTGTTACTAGATCCAGTCTCTGTTATTCACATTAGTGTATGAAACTGACACATTCGTATTAGATTCTGTAACATGCTGTTCACTTCAGATGCTTCATACTACCATCTTCACAGATGATGGATGGTTTACGTTCTGACGGGGTTTTTTGAGGTGGTAGAGCCTAGCTGTGGTCAAGTTACTACAGCTCGAACATGGGCTGGCTCGACCGGGGAAGTACCACCCTCTCACAGAAAATCGGCGTAAAGTAGTCTTTAATGGCTGCGTTTCGTCCGGTCAGTGAGAGAGCCGGTTGCCCTTTCCCTTTTCCCACCCTTTCTTGTCCTTTCCTATCCCTTCCTTTCCCACCTTTTACTCCCTTTTTTCCCCAAACAAGGGCGGCAACACATCTGCATATCTACGTTGCAGACGTCAATGGGCGACGGTAACTACCTACCATCAAGTAGGCCGTCTGCTCCGTTGCCTCCTTTTCCCATAAAAAAAAAAAAAAAAGCTCTGCGAGTCTACTAAACAACTGATAATTAATTAATATTACTTACAACTAATGGTTTACAATTTTATGAACACATTATGTTACTTTTTTTTGTTACTTATTTCATAATACCACAATAAGACCCATTAAAGGGCTCCTTTTATTTTCTTGTTATGAATATTCATTGTTTAAGTATTATTTAATATGAAAGTTTACATTTTGCTGGGATTTTCAATTTTAGGAATCTCAAAGTTTTAGTTGATTTGATGTTAATAAACAGTTTAATAGAATTTTTTTTCTCAATAATTTGGAGGCTTCGAAAATTTGTTTGCTAATAATGGCACAACTACACAGAAAAGCAAAATATTAATGAATATTTTTATCGCAACATCAATGCGGTCATATTTATTTGTGTAACGAACAATTATTATAAATAACTTGCTCAAATAATTTTGTAGATTGGAGTTTCCGCTTTAAATTAAATTCGACCCACGATCATAATATATTATGATAATTAGTAAACACAATTAATTAAATTATTTGCATGAAACAAAGTGTATTATAAATAACGAGCAGAGGAACATTTACTTTTATATATTTCTCGATGTAAGTATGCGACATCATAAATTTTTATCCCTGAGGAAAACACGGATAAAAACCCTATCATAGTTAGTATGCCTGAGGTAAAATATAGTATATTTCTATCACGTTACATATTTTAATTCAGTTCTAAATCGATAATCTTGTATATGGATACCATCGGAACACCTCCTAACATTAGATATTAAATAACTTAAAAACTCTAACAGATTATAGTATTGCATAAATATCAGCACTTCGTTTAATGCCTGCGAAAGAACATAATGAGAAGTTGTTAATACAAGTATAATAATTCACAATAATATCAAAAATAAAGATTTTATAAACAGTATGATAAGCTTATTGACTTCGTTTACTATACAACGAACACATCCGATGAATTTCTTTATACTGCCTTATACATATGTAACTTGAAATGAATGTTATTGTTTGTAAAATTTTGGAGCTGAATTTGAAGGAACACCTTTAAACAATTATGTGTGAACTCAATTTGACTCACAACATATGGTTTCATTTATGAGGTCATTTTTTATTCAAAATGGCAATATTTTATCCAAGATGACGGTCAAGTCATTTCTAATTCCCTCTCAAGTTGATGAAACGAAAATGTCTGCTAAGAATATATTGAAAAATAAATGTCTTTCAGTTCACAACTACAATGACGTACTTTTAATGATGGAAGCTTTATCTATAAAAATATAGACTGTTTTTTAAGAGATAAGCTAGTATTAAATTAATTAAATAAAAGCAAAACGCAATTTTATTTTTTTATGATTTTCTTATCCTGCATCAAAGCCATACTGCGGCGCTTATTAATTATAAATTTTCCTACAAAAGACAATAGGGTCAAGTTATCTACTCGTAAGTATATTCCGCCGAAGCATCCACAGTTCATTTCATATTATTTATCGACAATAGCTCCATAGACGAAAATAAAGTTAATGTCCCCTATTATTATTGATGTCAATAGTTTTTATTATAAAAATATTTTGTTCTATTTCATGGATAAAAATTATGTAATTCGATTATTATAGCTGGTCCACCTTACTTAGGAAAAAATATAAACTTTCCCTTTTTTTTTACTCAGTTTTATTATTATATTTTTTATAATATTTATACTTAATTTAATCATATAACATTTTTAAAAGAATTAGAAAAAATGTTAAAATATTTGTAGAAACAAGAACAGGAATGAGTTTAAAAAAACGTTGATACAATATCATTATAAATGTATTCAATTAACACAAAACTGGAACACAATTAAAATTAAAAATCTTTCACTATATCGGTTTAAACTTAAACGTGTATATATGTATATATCATCGTCATCGGCCTATCAGAGCTCACTGCTGAACAAGGGCCTCTTTCTCACATGGAGAAGGTTTGAGCATTAATCACCACGCTCACTCAAGATGGGTTGGTGATTACAAACATATAATTGTGAAATTATAATTATATTCAAGGGATTGAGACAATGACGCCAGTGATGGACGAATTGAAAAAGTCTTTGTGTATGCATATTGTGAGATGTAGTGAGAGCTATTAGCTAAGAGATAAGTGACTGTTGAGATAGTGACTTATAAAGAAAAATGTATCTAATAGAACATGGTGTGCCTACAACGTATACAGTTTATTAAAGACCGGAAAGTGGTGGCTGTCTTTTAAAAGTATAAAAAAAATGATTGCTAGTCAACTTTGCATTGAATATTTTTTTTTTTTATAAACTTAAGAAGCTGTTAGACATTTATATTTTTAACACTTTTCATTACTTTGTTAGTGATTTTCAATAAAGGAAATTGTTAAATACAATTTTGTTTCCTTGAACCTTACATTATAATATCTAACTAGTATATTACTTTGTTAATAAATACTAAAGATATTTTTATATTACTTGTATGTTAATATAATATTTAAAATGTAAAAGGAAACATTATTTTTCTTTCCCTCTCTTATTATAAGCTTGATATTTTTACGATGTATTAAAATTCAATCTCAAAGTGTATTTAATTCTTTCTTTTTCATTAACTGTTCTGAGTTTATAGTACAATACAGCTACCATATATATTAAATCAGTAAATGTGTAAATTTATGTTCAAGGCTTTTCTTATTTAAGTATAAAATGCTTTAGAAAAGATTTTAACGGTTTTGAGAACCTTCATCTAAATTCAATCACTTCCTATTGATTTCCAAACCGTTGAAGGAATTGAGGCATTGAAATTTCGCCAATATATATTTTTTCA